GTAACCTACCTATATTGATTTTTCAATTTGTAAGATTTATAAAAGTCAATAAAATGTCTTTCTTTAGATTGTACTGTTACTTGTTAGCATATGATATTATGATGTATGATGTTATAAACGAAGGTTTTTCCTTTTGTCATCCACATAACGTTAACAGGTAATTTTAGGGCAAGCTGAAAAATCTATATTCTGGTTGCCATGGGAAACCGATTTCCACTATAAAGTATACATAACTGAGTCCCTTAAAATCGTACAGAAACATATTTTATAATAGACACATATTTTACCATCAGTTTCTTATCAAAAATATTATTGTAATATCCATTGGTCATTTGTTTATCATTATTTTTAATTGATATTTTTAGGACAAAATTATTTTTTTTCTGAATAATTAATACTCGTTAATTATAATCCGTAGTTTAAATAGCCAAAATACGATTAATTTGAAAGCAGCTTTTTTTGTCACAGATTTGATATCTAAGTATTTTTAATTATGAATTGAAAAAAAAAACACTATTATAATATAAATAAATACTTCCACAATAGGCTATTTTTATTTAATTTTGTAAAATGTAAGATTTTGACAGTTAATGGTTTTCTACTATGTGTAATTTACAGTACCTACTTCGGTACTGTTATATAGCTTAGGTAATTTGCCATAAATCAAAAAAACATTTTTATAATGATTCTCCATAATATGTTTGTCTTTTTTTTCTTACACTTTTGTGGGTACCAAAACTGTTTTTAATATATTATAGTCATACAGCTCGTCAATAGATATGACATGATTAAATATTATGCACTTTAGAATTATTTAAAATTTTTTCAAAATTATTATTAAAAAGAGAAACAGTCAAATTTTAACAGGCAATCTGGCAATAGCACACTCATTTGTTAACAACATTGGAAACATTAAAACTATATAATACTTCTAATTATATTATGTTTATCACCTTCAGTTTTATTTCTGTAACGCTATATACCTATACATAGGTACATAAAAATTACAAAAAACACAAATTGTAGTGCCCATTAATTATTATATAATACTTTTAATTCGCTGAACTTTGATACCAGATAACTAATTATTTATTATTTTTATTTATAGTTTATAATTTTATATGTAGGTACAATAAAATTATAACATATCTAATAATATGTATAGGTTATAATAATATTAAATTGCATTTTTTTTTATATTTTATTAATATTATAATAAAAACCGGATAAATTTCATATTTTGAATGACCATTTTTCTTTGTATTGCCTGTCTAACTTCTTACTGTTTTGTAACACAACAGGTAGGCGGTGTTAAAACTTGAAATGTTGAGCAATTTAAAAACTTGTAGGTCCCATCTATGGGTAAGCAATACTAAGCATATCTACTATAGGTGCCTAGTCAATATTCATTAGTTGTATTATATTCATCGGTTTTCACCGTTACAACAACATGTTCATTATTATAGACTATAGTAATGACTAATAATATGAACTATGAAGTTGGTTATAATTTTACGTTTGTAGACAAATATATTCGGTGATAACTAATATAGAAGTACGTCCTAACTGACCGCATTATGATTAGGTACACATTTCGTCATTTTATTCTGTAATTAATGCGGTGTACCTACCTATTACAATTTGCATTGCGTTATAATGTCATAAACAGATAACATTATATATGTAAATCAACTTATAAAATGACGACAATTCTGTAGTCACAGTAGCTGGGATATCAAATGTTCAATGTGTAATTCGAATCTATATTGGACAGTGATATTATGTTGTTTATAATTAAATATTTTTTAATCTAAGGCATGTTCTGTGTAATGTGATGTATTAGTGTTCTACATGTACTTTTATAAGTGACGTCCCTATGATAAATATTAAATGATATGTAAACTTATTATGAACAAATTGACAAATAGTCTTAACTCTGTAATTATTACAATAATACACATTGTTATAGGTTCTATTATATCATTTTGATACAACTTGCATAAGGATATATATACACATAATGACTTAATAATGTATAATATGTAAAAACATATTTTGTTGAAATCTACCTCCTCTAATTTTTCTAAATGATACACAATAAGTAATTTAATCTCCGGGACCGTAAATAATATTTAATACATTTTGGCGTTCCTTTATTGCTTTTTTCTTGATCAAGTTCTACCTTATAAGTTAAAATATAGTATATTATAGAGTATACCTACTCTATAATATAATATACTATAGAGTATACCTGTTCAAATTTCTAAAGTTTAATGAAAATTTGTTTTTATAAAAAAAATAATTAGCAGATAATCACTTTATTATTAATACCTATATTATATCGCAAGAAAATTATAAGAAAAGTTAAACCTGGAAATTGATGTCATAATGTTACATTGAGGCTATTGAATGTTATATAATATATCATATACGATGTGTATGTTTGTTGTGTATTATGAAATATCATAAATAGACTAGATTAGATAAATATTATTCAGTTCGCTATCCTCTGCTCGTTTGATATATTATAGTCTATATACCTACGTTTAAATTTTTACAAACAGAACGTTTGTTACGTTTGAATTACTTTTATATGAATATATGATATATCATCATATAGTTATTATATGTTTATCTAAGTCAAGTAAGAATTGTACTTTTCGTTCAAATATAGGGACCTACATAGTACATACATTAAGAATATTACGTAATCGTAATTTTAAACTCTAAGATATGTATTGTTACATTTTATATTTTTATGTATGCATTTAGAGTTTAGACATAATATTATAGTATACATTTAGTTAACCTTATAACCTGCTTATTATAATATTTCTTATACAATTGGGCTCTTTTATAATTAAAATCATATTTTGTTATTTTATCAGACTTATTCTGTTTAATTAAACAATAAACAGATAATATATAGTATTAAAAAATCTTTAGAAATAATCAAATACATAAAACATTTCATTATCATTCAAATCCAATAGGAACCATAGACTTCGGTAATTTCTTTTGATGTGTTTAAGATTAAAATTAATACAAAAAGTGTATGCAATTTGATGCTAACCGACGCGAGATATACATTTTTTGTAAATTAGAAAAATGGTGTGTTGATATTTCGTAGTAATAATATAATCCATCGTATATTTTGTTTACGTATTCCGAATTTTGTACCTATACAGTGTTGTCTAATTGCAATTTTTACTTTATACCTGTAGGGCTTTCTTTTGCTCGTGACTAGTTTAACTGGTATTGCTAAACATACAATCCTCGTTTAGTTTTTACCATCACTAAAAAGAAACCGGTTTTAAAACGCTTAAAACATGATGATATAACGATCATGATAATTAGTTATTATTCAATATTATAAAGTAGTATATTATGTCTATATTTATAGGTATATAGATTATAGATATACATACCATCTATACTTAAAATATTTATTGGACTTGCAAAAAAATACAAAATTAAAAAAACACCGGGAAAAATATATTTTCATGGCATATAATATATTATGTGGTGAGGCTTTATGTAAATATTTGTTATCTAATTGAAAATTATAAAATTTTACAAACAAACGAGACGCAATAATCGGGAGAAAGTGTTTTCTATTCAAAAACAACTGCTGTTTCAAACTCGCTGAAGTCCAATAAATTGCACGTAATTCACTAATTATTTAAACGAGTAAACGACAATATACCTATAATTATGTTATATTGTTATACCGTTATTCGATATAAATAATTAGGTTAAATATCCATTTGTCGGATATTTTTGATATATTACAATTTTAACGGTTTTCAAACACGTCATTGTTACACTCGTTTATCGTTGAGAGCAATTATTATTGTTATATAGATGAAAAACAATCACACGCATATAAGCATATTATTATACTGGGTGTATAATATATAGTAAAACATAGTACGATATTATAAGCAATTCCGCCCCAGTCACTTTTGGTCGGCTTTGGACTTCGTATATACTGAAATTCGCCCCAATCAATAACTGGCGCCACTATAGTATCTCTCCTCGTGCTCCAGTTCTGCGCGGTCCCGACGAAACGTTTGTTTCTTAAATGTAAAATAGTAGTCATTCCGTGCGTTTTGATTTGTGAAAAACCTCAACTCATCGTCATAGGCAGACATACAGTGTGAGAGAGAGTGAGTATAAATACATTGAAAATTATAACAACCAATTTTAAACGTAAAACGCACAATAATTTTATTGCCTGTTTACTATACCTTCTATACCAATTTAAATTTAATCTTTATACCTACTTGCGGCGTACACAAAAATAATACATTTTAAATAACCACTTATTTGCGTAATTTAAGTGAGTAAACATAAGTATAGGTGTAATCACTGACGTACCTATATACCATTGTAATATTTTCTTCAGTATAAAGTCATCATAGGTAATCGTTTTGTTTATCATCGGATTACTGCTTTTACACGTTTCAAACTATTTTTTTGCTGATCATAAAAACACATCTCTAGGTCATCCGTAGCTAAATACGCATGTATATAATATGGTTAGGCAGATAGTTGTGTAAGTGTAATATTGACAATGAATTAAACATATGTCGTGCAATCGTCTCGTTCCTACCTACATTTCACCTGTAATTTGTAAGAATAGCATTAATATACGTATATATATATATATTTATATATATTATTTTAAGTTTATACGCAATAGCATTGCCATGTAGGTCACATAATTTAACGAATAATAAAATATGTATGGGTAGGTACTATAGATACCTACACAAAAGTAACATTATTGTATAATTATAATAATAATTATTATTATTATTATAGATATTTAGAAAAATGGTTTTCTGAAAATCCATCTTTATATTTTATGTTTTTTCAACAATTTTCTAAATAAACATCATAGTTTTGTTAGAATAACCCTGGATATTCCTAACTGTTCAGTCCAAGTATCGGCAGACATTGTAATATTAACAATGAATGCATTTTACAGTTCAGCCATGCCGGGAAACGGATTATTGGAAACTTCTCCCAACTATGTTATCAACAAAGCTGTTGCTGCTAGATTTCAACAGCTGCCCCAACCAAAGGATAAGGTACAAGTCATGTACGTATGGATTGACGGAACTGGACAAGATCTTAGAGCCAAGTCTAGAACACTAGACTTTATTCCTACAAAAGTCGAAGGTATGACGTGTATCTAATTCGATATATATTATAACTATCTGCTATGTACAATATGTACATAATATATACATTGTAAATTACAACGTTGTAAAAAATAAACATAAATACATATAAATTACATTTGAATCAATCTCGTCGAGAGTACTAACCATATATCTGACTAGTTAATCTAATTCGTTAGACATTTTTTTTTTATCTTAAATTTATATGTTTTTAGGTCACCATTTATATTGGGTGGGTCAGCGGAATTAGGATATCCTGTTAAAACATAATATACAATTTGTTTTTTTCCCTATGTTCACTGCGTGTGAATACTATTATACTAATATAATTATTACAGTAAATTGACGTTGTCGTTTATAACCTATTATATAAGTAATTCATAGTCAAGGACTAAATGGTTTGTTCTAACCTTGATTGCAATTCGCAAACAAAAACAGACAAATGACAATTATTAGCCGTCAGTGTGAAACATCAAAATACGACAATGAAACGTATATTTGATCGATTAATCATAATTATTTCTCTGGAATAGAAAAAAATGAATATTAATCGTGTTTTGAACACGCAATCGGATAATAATATACTAATAGTAATATAAAATAAAAATATTCCATCAATCAATCTATCTAATATAAATTTGTATATAAGTACTCCTTTCTTCCTTTGTAATCAATAGACAAAAGTAATACCTATAGTAGATATATTTACATTTTACTGTGATTGAAATATTATGTTTATTTAGCAATATTGAGTATAGAAAATATCTGTGAAAATAAAACTGAATTTACTGTTAAAAAAAATATTAATAAATATGTTCATTCAATTTATATAGGTAGGTTATTACTGTTTAATAATTTATAATTAAATTGTTGTATATTTTGATAAGGTAAAATAATATTTTACCAAAATAAATTGATGAAAGAAAATAATGGGCCCACTACTTAATATAATATTATAGTTATTAGTTTAAGTGTACACGATTACCTCGTTTCAAACTTTAATATTTGGCATTTGCTATTTTAATACAGAACTCCCTGTGTGGAATTACGATGGAAGCTCTACGTACCAATCTCAAGGAGAAAACTCAGATACATTTTTGTATCCAGTGGCCATTTTTAACGACCCGTTCAGGTTGGCACCAAACAAACTTGTCATGTGCGAAACGTACAAACACGATCACACTCCAACTGGTAATAAAAAAATATGATATGATAAAATATTGACAAATTATTAAAAATTATTGACACTCGTAAAAACAATACGGCCGATTCCGACTTTCACCATTTTTTTTGTTGCTATAAAGACCGAGAAAACTATCGTCAACAATTGTGGATGAATAAATATTTTTATCTCACACATAATTTTTATTATTACAAATATTGGCAATACTCAATATTCGATACTGATTCTGTGCTCTCAACACAGTGAATGGGTATATTACGTGTATTTTTCAACGATTAGAATAATCGGCCCGATGATCTTACGAGTGTCTCAATATAAAATATACAAATCGATGTTACCGCATGTAACTATATAATATTATATGCATATTGGTACAGCCAGGTGAACGGCATATATATGATTAATATATCGCGTCGACACTTGTGCAGCACAATAATATGAAATGCCATTAAAATTGTTTTTATATTCATAGGTACAAATCACCGTAAAGCCGCTTTGGAAGCCATGACTAAAGCTGCCGACCAAAAACCGTGGTTTGGTATCGAACAAGAATACACGTTACTCGACACTGACGGCAAACCGTTCGGATGGCCAAAGACTGGATTCCCAGGTCCCCAGGTACGTTTCGTAAACACGTCGTGACGGATGTGATGTATACCTAGGTATAATACATGTCACGGAACATTATAATGTAGTCACTTTGCGACCGTTGGTAAAAACTGAAACTATATGTGTGCACAGGGTCCGTACTATTGCGGTGTTGGCGCTGATAAAGTGTACGGACGTGACATTGTGGAGGCTCATTATCGTGCATGTCTGTATGCCGGAATCAACATATCTGGAGAGAACGCCGAAGTTATGCCAGCTCAGGTACCTTTATAATATACACAGTATAAGCTCATTAATATTATACATTTACGGCTTTACGAGCGTTCGCCAACGCGGAAATTTATAATTTACATATTTTTTAATACCTACCTAAATACCTTTTGCACGAGGTCTATAATAATATATATATATTATATAACGCTGTCTGCAGCGGTAAACGTTGACTGTTCGAATTTTTTATTGGTAATTATTTGAAGAAAAATAAAACACGTCGATTTTATCGTAAAAAACCTGTTTAACCTACACTGGCTTGAACGGTGTAAATATTGTCGTCTCTTGTATGGTTTTAGTTTAAAACTGAGTCAATTATATCGCTCAAATTTGAATCGAATTTCTTGCAAAATTGAATTTTTGAAGACAGTCTCCTTTCAAAAACATTAAGCATGTTTTTAATTCAATATTTCTTATACTTAATTGTACTAACTTAAATGTGTATACTGTGTGCTCAGTATTGCTCACTGCTCAAGACACCTGAGAAATATGCAATCAAATTATTGAAACATTTTACACTTTTCACTTTTAGTGACTTTGCAGGGCCGTTCTTTTAACAATAAATATACTCATTATCCCAAAAAGTATAAAAGTTTAAGACAATTTCAGTTTTACATGCAATTTAAATACATTATAAAACAGCATAGGAACGTATTTGAAAAAAATAAGATATTTTTCTCATCTTAACTTTAAATATGTAATACTAAAATTAACTATATACTCGTTTTAAATTTGATTTTTATAAATCAACATTTTCAATAACAGTTTCTGATTTGTAATAGGAAATTGTTTATTGAAAAAAATTGAAAACTTAAAAATTATATCAATAAGAATATTTAAACATTTTTCAAACAATATTGTTCTGTGATAATTTCAAACTGTGTAATATAAAATATTTTGAGTAATGAAAGTTTAGTGTTTACTATTAAATAATCACCTAGAATAAACATAAAAGATTAATATTATATAACATTACTTTTGTTTATGATTTATGAATATAAATTATAATAATATAATATAGTTATTTTATTATAACTTTATTAAAAACTGTATTGTATATATTATTGTCTTAGTATCGACCTATATTATAGTATGCAAGACAATAATTAAATGAATCGTATATTTCAGTGGGAATTCCAAGTTGGACCATGTGAAGGTATTAGCATTGGTGATCATTTATGGATGGCTCGTTTCTTACTGCACCGTATTGCCGAAGAGTTTGGCATTGTGGTAACACTTGACCCAAAACCAGTACCAGGAGATTGGAATGGTGCAGGTGCACATTGTAATTTCTCAACTCAAGTTATGAGAGAAAACAATGGAATAATGTAATTTATATTTTAAATCGATAATTTATTTGTAAGTGTTTTAACATTTTAATCTAAATGATTAATTATTGTTTTAGTGAAATCGAAAAGGCTATTGACAAATTGTCCAAACAACATATGAGACATATTAAGGCGTACGATCCCAAAGAAGGCAAAGATAACGAGCGCCGTTTGACCGGAAAACACGAAACTTCTTCCATTCACGATTTCTCGGCTGGTTAGTACTTAGCTGTACCTAATAAAGTACTACCCCTATAGTACACTAATGCGTACTAACTGCAGAGATCAAAAAAGTTTTAGAATATTTCAAAAAGTTCCATTTAAACACCTATAATATTACACCTGCTAGTACACTAATGCGCACTAACTGCAGAAGTCGAAAAAGTTTTTGAAAATTTTTAAAAGTCCCATTAAATAGCTAGGTATAGATAAACTTTTGAAAAAAATTATTTTATACAATATACATTAAATAAGACAAAAAAAAACTGCCTATATACCTACGTTTCAAATATGTTCTAAAAGAATATAATATTATTAAAAAAATACCCAATAATTTAATATCTGATTTCAATTTCAATTAATTTGAAATAAAATTCTAACAATAAACAAGCATCAAGCATGCTCACACATATTTTTTATTTAATAATCAATTAATTTAAATTCTGATTTTTGATATTTTTAAATATACTTACCTATTTTAAATCAATTTTTTGAAATTTTGATTTTTTTTGTCCTACTTAAATATTTTTCAAATGAGACCCCCTCGTTTTTACTGTAAATTATTTAGTGGATAATTTTTTGTTGTAATACTAAGTTCACATTATTATCTGTAAAAAAATATCTAAAAAACTGTTTGTTATTGTTCTAGGCGTGGCTAACCGTGCTGCCAGTATTCGTATTCCTCGTGGTTGTGCCGAAGAGAAGAAGGGTTACTTAGAAGATCGTAGACCATCGTCCAACTGCGACCCATACAGAGTGACCGAAGTCATTGTACGCACCGTGTGCCTAAATGAATAAAGAAAATATTAAGATAATAACCTATACCCATCAAGACAAACATAAATATCGCCCCACCTTGGAAAAAAAACATTATCTCATATTTATAATAATATAGAACTATTGTTAGGCACTGCATGATATTATGTTACAATTTTTAATTTTAATTTCAAGACCAAAAACAATATTGCATTTTAATGAGTGTCGCTAAAAAGACATGTTGATTTTTACATATTTTATTATTTATACATTTATACTAACAAACGGTTTATTATATGGTTTCGTTATCATGTATACCCATTGTTATTTTTGTGCAAATTTATTTTACAATTTATTTTTGGGGAAAAGCATTTGTGAAAAATTATATTTTTGTTAATTTAAAATTATGAAATGTATAAACAATATACCAATGACTTAATTTATTTGTTTCACTAATCAGTTAACACTATTACATTATAATCCTATAAAAATAGCGAAACCATTAAACAGTACCTATAACCTACAATCTCCTGTTAGTACCTACCTATAATTCTATACGTCAATATTGAATCATAACTTATTTCGAATAATAATTGATACAATAATTATTCCTAGTACAGGAGAATAGGTTGATGATAATATGTTATGAAGATATGGATATGGGAGTTATGATTAGGTATTTAAAAATAATTATAATGATTATGTGTAGAAACAAATAAAAATAATTTTTTTTAATTTGTAAGGATTAATAAGTTGGTACAATACTAAATATTACTTATATGTTATACTTCATGTAACCAGAAGACCCCGAGAGGCAGAAGCCACTCCATACACTTTTCTAAAAAATAAACACTTTGGAGCTTTGTGCGCCACACCCAGTGGCGTGGCGTATTTACGATTTTGGAGCCCATTTTTTCTCAGTTTCCTTTTAATCATTGAAACAAAAAACTTTTAAACCCCCTCTAATTAAAAATTTACTTTTTCTCTCAGTTAATAGTGCAGGGCTTAAAACCGGTATAAACCGTTATAAAACTGAAACCGGGAACAAAATCAAAACCAAAACTGAAAAAAAATTGGAAACTGGTATTAAATTCAATACCGACTAGAAAGAAATTGGATACCTGTATTATACTTAAAAACCGAAAATATAATATAATATATTTTTTTTTTTTAAATCTTTGTATCTTGACATTTTTGAAAGTTTACTTTACACAGGCGATAGGACGCTCGATCCAGCGATTCAAAAAAATTAATAAACTAATGAACGTAAATAGTCCAGGTCTTGAAACCGATTTTAGAAACCGGTATAAACCGTTTAAAAACTGAAACCGATGACAAAATCAAAAACAAAATCAGAAAAAATTGGAAATCGGTATTAAATCCAAAACCGAAACTGAAAAAAATTGGAAACCAGTGTACAAATCGAAACCAAAACAGAAATTTTTTCAATCGGTTTCAAGCCATGTACCTAAAAGTGATAATTGATGACCCAAAATGTATATTTTCCCTTATTGCATTTATGCTTCCACTAATTTAGAGAACACTTTTATTTTCCCATTAGCACTCCATTTATTCCTAATAAAAAGTCAACCATTATAATAAAATAAGCAAATTATAATTTAGATTTCAGCCTTTTAGCCTTTTTTTACGACAATTTAATAAAATACATTATAATATATATATATATATTAGATAGATATAATATGTATAGAAATGTAAAAGATATTATAAGAAAGATACAGGTATCACTTATCAGTTATCACTAATATAATTTCTTAATAAATCCAATAAAATAAAAAAATAATTTTGTTATTACCTCTAGCGACGGCGCCCCTTTGAGGACTCAGAATTTGGCGCCCCGGGGCAATTGCCCCCCGTCGCCCCCCCTAAATACGCCACTGGCCGCACCCCTTATTCATTGTCTATTTTTTCTATGAACAATTATAAATAATAAAATTATAATTGTTATGCTCCAGTTTAATTTTTTTTTTATTAGTAATAAAAGTGTTCAAAACGACAAGACTTGTTTCAAGTTTTCCATACAAATTTAAAGTCAGTCATCATAATATGTTCCATCGTTTGCAAAGTTTTTAAAAAAAATGGGTGCATAATATACTTTTCATTTTGACTGAATAGGGTATGTTATTAGTGTTCACGATGGAAGGAATAGGTCAATATAAAACTTGCCAACGAAATAAAAATGCACTTTACAGAATATTAAGCAAATACAAATTACAAAATGTCTTATGTCTTATGAAGTTTATTGAGGTGATATTGTTAGGTATAGCATTGACCTTGAATAAGTGCAGTCACGTGCAGAATTTTACTGTGCAATTTGAATTAGGTATTTATTTTGAATTGATATCATATAAGTTCGAAAATTAATTTATCTTGAGGGTGGCTATGAGTCATTTCTTTCTTGGGTGGGTAATTGAGCCCCTCTAATCACCCCTAGTGACAATTGTGCAATAAAATTATTATTGAAGACTAACAAAGTACTATTCTTAGTAGGTACCAACATACATTTATTGTAATAACTCAAAACCTACTCATTCAAATTTCGATTTAAAACGTCAACATTTTCAAAAAAATCATCTAATTAATACTGATTTACTGTAATGACAGAAGTCTCATTTCAAAAAAGGAAAAATCTTGTATGGTCACTCCTTAAATGATATTAAAATCAAAATATTTGAAAATATGGTTATATTTATGGATAAAAATTCAAAAATCCAAATTTTAATTAATGCAATATATAAGGGGGGGGGGGGGGGGGGTAATGTGGTTGTTGAATGGCTCTGTGTATATTTATAATACCGTCGCCGACCCTCTCCGGCATCTAGTTATAAATATTAAGAAATTCAAAATATAATAATATTATGTAGATTTTAGGCATAAAATAGACGTAATCACTAATTAAAAGAAGATAATCTTTTGAAGATGAGAATATAAACCAATTAATACCTATGGTAGGTATAATAATGTAATATGAAAGATACGAATAGCTTAAACTATTTATTTTTAATAGGTACTTATATAGTCGTAAATAGTGAAACACTTCATATATGTGGCTCTGCAACTGCCACTTTTTCTGGGACCACATGTCCACATAGGTACCTACATATTACATAATATACAATTATACAAATTAATATAAACTATTTACTTTTGATAAAATGTAAATTATTATTTGTTAGGCGATATTATATTTAGTATTAACACCCACACTTTATTTGATGAGTACCCAGTGAACCTGTGAATAGGTACTTAAGTCAATTGTATAATAGTATAACACTATCTACATCGGGCTACATGTGTATAGGTGTTTGAAAACGCTCGATAAATATTATGATATTCAAATATTCCTTATGTCATAAAATAGAAAAATATCCATACAACTATAAAATTAAACTTAACCTAAACAAACCAAATAATTTTTAAGTCCAAGTCTGAAGAACTAATAGTGTATTAAAAAACCTTAGATATAAGAAATGCGTTAAATTCAACCCGAGGTTCGATCGAAAAATTCTTGTTGTGATAAATGCTGTTGGAATTATGTTAAATTTATAACTGCACTAAACCAACCCCTCCTATAGATATATGATTATATGAAGTATTACAAAATGTATTCTATATCTATTATGTGGTACTTTTTTATTGTTATTCTTTATTTTTCTTATGTTCAACTGCTACAGTAGGTACTACAGTCAAAATTATTATCCTTATTATTGATTGTGAATAAAGTTTTTCCGTACAAATGAATAAATTTAAAAAATCATATTATAAGTTTTTTTATAATACCTACTAGCTGATCCCGTGCACTTCGTCGCCCGTTAAATGGATCAACTCAATACTACCTACTCAAACTTTGTTCAATTCATTATTCAATACTCGGTGTATGGTGTTCAAAATTTATCTTATCTTTCCCGTTGCCATGAATAAAAATTCTTAATCGCAGCAGTACATTATCAGGTAGGCAATCTACCTGCGGTAGATCGCGGACCCCGTGCTGTTTGTACGGAAGTGTATGATTTAACTCTAAAGTATCAAAGTTATACCAAGTTTATTTTGATGTAATACTGTGGATTAATATAATAAATTTGGTTGCTCGTAAAAAATCGCAACTCTTAAAAAAATTATGATTGTTGAACTCCTTTTGGGTGTAATTTTCTGCGGTAATTGCAACTCTGCCACCCTGGTAAGCATTGTTCAATAATTCGATTTGATGCAAGCTTGTACCTGATCTGCCCGAATAACCAATGGCAACCAATAAATAAATGCTAATTTCTAATGTAGACCGTAACCAATGGCAACTATAAATAAATAAAAATAAAATTTCCAATTTCTATCGTGAATCTCAATGTCCCTGTTTCAGCATCTATTTAAAATGCGAATTTTGGCAAATCCTTTCTTAGCGCACGTCTATATTATAATAGCTATCTGTATGCCAAATTTCAGCCAGATCCGTCCAATGGTTTGAGCTGTGTGTTGATAGCAGTCAATCAGCTTACTGTTTTTTATATACAGATATGGTTGCCATGGTAATATGGACCCACACACACACACACACACACACTGACATACATTCATTTTTATAAATATAGATTGATATGAAATCTTGGTAACCTTAGTAACCATGGCAACCTTGGTAACCATGGTAACATGGACACACAGACACACAGACACGCTGACACACTGACATACATTCATTTATATATATATAGATAGGCTATAGGTAGTAGGTACCTAACCTATATATTTAATATATAAAAACATGAATTTGTATTTTTTAATTTTATTGAAATTTTAGCGTAGGTACGTCTTTTTGAGTAAATTAAATATTTATTTTATTATGATGTATTCAATTTATATTTGATATACCAAAATGTACGTTCTTTTAAATAAATTATGTTTAGGCGGGTAATATTTGATTTGCAGCATATTAAGAACTCTGAGCACGTCAATTAAACACTTCACTTACCTATAGTAAAATATGTCATGGTAATAAGGTACTTACTCAATTTTTATCAAATTAATTCACA